AAGTGTAGTTGACGTCATCCTCCAACCGGATGAATGAGTCTCTTGTGTTGAAGATTACTTCATAACTTGTAGTAGCCAGCATTTGTTTGTCTTTGTGTTCTGGTTTAGGATACGCGCAGTTTACAAAACTGACCTTCCACTATTTTAACTGCGGCGCTTGCAAATTGGCGATGAAATAGTTGCACAGAGAGGCGACTTTCAACCACAATAGCAATCACCATAAGAACCAAATGAACCGTGGTTAGCATACGCCGTCAGGCTGAAAGAAGACAGGCTTCTTTTACAGTGTTCTTACACTTCGTAATTGTGGGTAGGTGCAAGCGTTTCGGAGGAACATGCTACCTCCATCTTCAGGGCTGACGTGCAGGTCCACAAGACGTCACAAGAAAGAGCGGCGAGTCGCCATGTTCTCCGCCGACGTTTCGATTACTTTTTCTGTTTCCTTCATCAGGGGATCACGGCTTTTGCCGTCTGTAGTAGAGGTGGATGCTTGTTCTGATTTTTATCGTTTGGCAGCGCCTGAATCGTTTGGTAACACGCAATAATATTAAAGTGAAGTTCTGTGTTGGAATCTCGTATCTGTTGCCGACGTTTCAGAGTTTATTGCAGCAGACACGAAGCAACAAGCCAGAAAACTGCCATCTTCATGTCTCATAATATGTTTAGTGGTGAGAAAAGAATCGTTATGGACATTCAGTGTCATTCATCCGATCCGCTGAGTTCGAGACAGTCTTTCGATTCTTATTTCCAGGAAATGCGATTCAAATTGCAGCTTGGAGAAGGCGAAACTTCCAGGAAAAATATTTTGCGCCGTCTGACCTCCTCGGTGGTTCGTAAATTACACGAATAACCTCCGTGTATCGTCAATGTCAGCCCCTTAAAATAGTAACAAAATTATCTTCTCCCCCCCCCCCCCCCCCCCGAGAGTAATTAATTCAAAGTCGTCTGTGAACTCTCCTTTCCTGTTGGCCTTGAGTAAAATCGCGTTTCTGTCCTTGAGCAGGTAAAGAGGAAACATTTGGCTGCGTTATGTTGTCGGGCGTGCGTCTTGGCCTTACGTCAATGCGCAGTGCACCACGCGGTGGATTCCGTCAATAAGATATTCTTCTTCTTCTTCTTCTCCCTGGTGACGTGATGAGGGGTTATTCTGGCACAGTTGCTTGTCATGTGGGGAAACATGAAAGGTCGCGCAGTGCAAATCTTTCTGTGCCTAGATTTCGGGTTCTCACGACGACGAATGTGAAGATGGCTCCCTCATGTGGTTTGATCTCAGATGATATTCATTGCCTTTCGCCAGACGACACGACGCAAAATCCCAGAAGACAGCCATCTTCCTGTATCACGTTATTTCACGACGTCGATTTGATTCCTTGAGACACATACAGCCGATGTTAATATTAAAATAATTCAATTTAAAGTAAAGAGATGAGAATGTTTGAAATGTTTTTTTAGTATGGTTGAAGAATTGGTCCATTGCAGCCGTGGAATTATGTCAACGAGGTAATGAACCCTGGGGCTCCATCTACGGTATGAAATTAGTAGGTTCTTCAGAAACAGTCATTTTGGTTCGATGTGATTGCCATTGGTGGAATTCGATACTACAGCACAACGTGAGTCAAACTTGATTTGTTTTGATACAAAATGACACCTCAACCGATTCTGTAAGCCTTCTGAATAAATTTCTATACACTTTCAAAGTTGTAAAGTCCTTTTTGAATCACCTGATATATATATATATGGCTACGAATGGTGATAAATACTGACATGGAAGCAGGTGATCTTGGTTTACTTCAAAAATTGTTCTGTCATTTGCCAGGAGAGACACAGATAACTACTACAAACCATATTGTGACTGGGAACTGTGGCGAGATTCGAACCCTGTGCTTTGAAGTGTTCCCGCTGCACGGTCATGCTCTGTTTCTCTCCGTGGGGACACTTGGTAGGTTCAGGAGGGTGTGCCTTAACAAAAGTCTGGAGGTCTGGACTGAAATTCACGCGAAATTCAAACTGAATAATTGAAGTTTCGTAGTAAACGCCCTTAGTAAGTCCATACGTCTGCGAGCCCTTGATAACGTCATGATGTGAGGGCGTTGGCTTCAGTTCGTCGTAAAATCTGTCTTGGATGGGCAGCTGTCCACTTCCCGCGCCTGAGTTACGGCAAGATCAGCTGCTGATTTTCTGCTCCCCCAGTTCTAGTCAATTTCTGTTAGGTGCTTTAATTGAGGACGTCGTAAAGCTTCTCCGTGATCAAAATGTCAGGTCATGTCCAAGCGCTTGCCATTGAAGGTCAAATTGACAGACAGTCGTGTCTTCGGAAGCATTCGACGTAATTGACGCAATCAATGAAGTGGCTTCATTCCGGTTGGCACCAAATTTCGTTAGTGAAACGTGTAAACGGTCGGAGCTTAGACGAATATTCTAAGCACACTGCAGATTCCCCGAATTTGAGCTCACGTGACATTCTGGAGAATGCCATTTGGCACTGGGAATGCCCTGGTCAGTGCTGCCACATTTTTGACTGAATTTTGCCTATTAACCGAACTCGTGTCAGGAAGGATGCGTCCATCGCACAATTTAACAAACTGACTGGCGTAATTCGACACTAAAGGTCTTTCCCGTTTTCAAACTTGTATTAGCATATTACGTCTGTTAGAAATGTTACAGATGAAATGTGTGCCCAGTAATTATGCTAATAAACTTTTTGCAAGGCTGTGAAAGTGTCGTTATATACATACTGTACCAATTCCGACGTATTGCGTCTGACCACGGAGTGCCGATGGGAAAAACTGCCTTGTTGCCTGCGGTGACTTAAGCCATATCGATTCTATACATTCAACTCCCCCTCCCCCCGGTCTTCTCTGCGCTCCCCTCTGGAGCCCTTGTGCTGTGTATACATCCAGGAGCGCCCTCCGACCATTTTGGTCACAAATTCGTGACAAGGTGACGCCAATATCAGGCCAAGGATGTGGTGATCGGAGGTCATAGAAATTTCAAGGTCATTTATATTCGTGCGAATTTCTGCGGTTGTATGTGTCTCCGAATGTCCGAAGTCATGTGGCGTTTGGGGTCATGGTTATGTGAAGGTTATATCAAGGTCTTGACAATATCACCCCCAAGGATATTCTGAATAGAGGCCTTTAAAATTTCAAGGTCATTCTTCGTATCAGCTCATTCCCAGATTGTCGAACGATACTTGTCAATTGTTTCCTGCGATTGGTGATAAGAGTGCCTTGAAACGTTGCAGTACTTTCGTGTTCACTGTACATAATTATACACCGCCCCCCAGATCCCACTCTACGATGAACTGCTCAGACTTTTTGTCTTCAGGGGCTGACCCAGATGATTCAGCCTTTTGCTCAGTGTTCAGACTTCCGGTTTCGTTATCTCGGTTGTAGGGATGGCATATCCGCAGAATGAGTAGTGCCGGGTTCTTGGGTGTCGGACAGTGGCACTTACACTCAGATATTAAGACTGCCTTCTGTAGAATCTTTCGTTCTAATAGCTGAGGTTCTGTTCTGGACGAGGATTGAATTGATATAAGCACTGGGGGAAAGAATAACCGGTGTGAGTTGTTATTATTCCAAGGTTTCCTAAGGTTTGTGGTTAGTGAGACATAAACACCATCGTATTTCTATTAAACGGTGTCAGCTTTATTGAAGATTGCTAATTATGAGTTACGACATTTCTTTCTTAGTTGAGGAAATGTCATCTCTTGGCCGTCATCGCATCGAACATGAATGATGCACGAATCGAAGGGTACCGTCTCTCAGATTTGAGCCACGTTCATCTTCGATAAAAAAAAAAAAGAACTTCTTTGCCGAATTTATTTTGAAATTTTCAATTCGATTTCCGGTTCCGTAGTCCTTGCATCAGCACAGCAGAAAGTTAACGAACGCACAAGCACGTGGCTTCGTCTAAATATGTAGTTCGTGAGTGGCCTTACAGTGCGACATGTATTTCCCGCTGTTGAAAGCCTTTTCCGGTAAGGATTTCCGGTGTGTCTGTCGGTCGAAGTAATGTCTTTACAAAGAAGCCTGATTGGTTTCTACGTAAAGTGGAGCCTATGGTATGCACAAAAGAATTCGTGTTACTCGCTTTATTGCGGTGGTCTGGAACCGAACCCGCAATATCTCCGAGGTATTCCTGTATATACGAGGCGCGTCCTTAAAGTAAGTTTCCCTGGGGCCGTTTACAGAAACAAAACACAATTTCATGGAAATATTTATTGCAACAGATACAGCAAGTGTCCAGCTATTTTTCAACATATTCGCCACCGGAATTGAGACATTTGTCATACCGTGGGACCAACTTTTAATACCTGTGTCGTAGAAGTCTGCCGCCTGGGATTGGAACCACTGTGTGACAGCCATCTCCGCCTCTCTGTCATTCTCAAAACGCTGACGCTGACGCTGACCGGACAGGAATTTCTTGAGGTGTAGGAAAAGATGGAAATCACTGGGAGCGAGGTCCGGGCTGTAGGGTGGATGATTAAACACCTCCCAGCTGAACTCCTGCAGGAGACTCGCTGTCCGTTGAGCCGTGTGCGGCCTAGCGTTATCACTGACCGCACTTCACAGTCGGCGGGGGCTGGAATAAGAACCTCCATCTTCAACAGCTGCAACGATGCTACTGTGAGAACGCGGGAAGTGCCGTTAGTGCATGCGCCATGCTACGTCATTGCTCTATCACGTACGCACAGTCGCTTCGCGCAATATAAGGTTTGCTAGCTGTGGGACGAGTGGGAAACTTACTTTGTGGACGCGCCTCGTAGATCACTGTTTTAAGCCTCTCGTTTGCTGGAACCTTCTTCCTTCATAGGCCACATTACCGGAACTCCCCGTCTACCGAAATTTCGTCTTGTACAGTGGCTTCACTGTACAAGACGAAATACTAGTCTGCACCTACAAAGATGGGAGCCGAGGACACAAAGAATTTCTGTTTTCTAAGAGGCTGTAAGCGTCTGACAGCCGAGAAGAGTAACTGAGCGGTGTTTGTTGCAGGTGAGCGACCATTGTCTGGGGGCCGCGTTTCGGTCGACAGGAGGCCTGACCCCGTCCGCGAGAGCGAGGAGCGGCCCCTGCCTGACGGCGGCCTCCACCAGGAGGATGACGACTACCACCAAGAGATGTGAGTAACGCGGCGCTGCTCGTCAGCTGTTTGCAGATTATTTAAAAAAGTCTTTGGGTCCCTGCGACTCTCATGCGGACACTTTGTGGTTGGCGTTATCGGTTTTCTGAGGCGTGGATCTTTTTCCGCCTAGATGTGTTTCATTCTGACAGTTTATCGCGTTCACGATTTTAATTTTTACTTCCAAATACTTTTGGGGTTTCCACTGCAGCGGAAATGTGATTAGATGTAGATTTTTCGAAGGAACGCCCAGCCTCTACACTAGAGATGAAGGCGACATGTTCATAAAAAAACGTTGGTAACCACCTTCAAGAGTACATGGAATTACGGGCTGGAACACCAGAATTCTATTGACAACATCAGATCGTTTGTGTATATCAAATATACCTCAAATAATTTGCCGTGTCCAGTTGATATTCGTATAATAAATCCCGTCATAGGTCGACAACGATACAAAGTTCTTGAACATTAACAAAAGTGAAAAGGTTGTAAAAATATTAAAAAAAAAACTCTGTAAAAGTATAATATCACGTCTGTGCCATGAATATAAGAATTATCAAAAGCCAAAATAAGTGCATCGTAAATCGAACTTAACGAGCTGAACCAGTCATTAAAGACTTCCGGAATTACGTAATTAAACACAAATCAGTTTAATGCTGAACGCTCAAAAAATTACCACACCAGAGACTAGAAAGCCCGCAGAAATATTCTTCAGATTTTTCGAGGCGGTCTTAGGGAGTTGAAGGACATGGCACCGTCTCACGATCGTTAGGGGGCTCGTTAGATCGGGAGGGGTGGGGGTGGCGACCATCAGCCATCATCACGCTGACGTCAGAAAAAGATTTCTCTCACCGGAATATCCTTTGGGACGTTTTTATTGAACATGCAGAGATGACTTCTAACTTTAACCAGCGGGTAATCGCTCAAGGTCACTCGTCACGAGATAAATGCAGAGACCAGCAGCGAATTTGAACATATTTGTATACAGCATCCTGCTGGATTGTTGGCGAACTTCGATTAAGTCCTGTGCCCGGTGTAATTTTCTCGGAGGTAAGCACAGTCGGAACGTGAACCTTACGTCTTTTTATGGAGGAATGGAAGGAGGTCGATCTCCACGAACGCCGTGCTCCTACGTCGCTCACCTTCCATCCGCGTCGTGTCCTTTGGTCGCTGTTCGGTTAGCAACTTCCTTTGTGTTAACGGCCGGCCTTTGCTTTACACACGTTGGCTGTGTCTTTCTGGTGTTCTGCCGCAGAAGATGGAGTTAGTACGTTCCTCTGAAAAAAAAACTCGATGGCTCACGCTGAAAGGCTACAGTCGAAAAGTTTAGATTACCCCCTTGGAGATGCGGCAACTTCTCCGGCAGTAGTGTGTGACGTGAAGCCTATATTCCAGCATTTAAAACCTACGCTCACCCTCGTACGAGAAACAGCGTTACAGTGAGGTTCTGAAATTGTTATCCATTTCGAGCAAGGGCTGTCCAGTGAGGTTAAGACGTTGATTCGGTCGTTTGTCACGTCGGAAATCTTTTATCAGACCACACGTCCTTATGATGGAGGCAGCAAGGACCTCCGAAACGTCGGAAATCTTTTATCAGACCACACGTCCTGATGTGCAGGCAGTGGGGAGCTCTGAAACGTCGGAAATCTTTTATCAGACCACACGTCCTTATGATGGAGGCAGCAAGGACCTCTGAAACGTCGGAAATCTTTTATCAGACCACACGTCCTGATGTGCAGGCAGTGGGGAGCTCTGAAACGTCGGAAATCTTTTATTAAATTACACGTCCTGATGATGGCAGCAAGAACTTCTGAAACGTCGGAAATCTTTTATCAGACCACACGTCCTTATGATGGAGGCAGCAAGGACCTCCGAAACGTCGGAAATCTTTTATCAGACCACACTTCCTTATGATGGAGGCAGCAAGAACCTCCGAAACGTCGGAAATCCTTTATCAGACCACACTTACTTATGATGGAGGCAGCAAGGGCCTCCGAAACGTCGGAAATCCTTTATCAGACCACACTTCCTTATGATGGAGGCAGCAAGAACCTCCGAAACGTCGGAAATCCTTTATCAGACCACACTTACTTATGATGGAGGCAGCAAGGGCCTCCGAAACGTCGGAAATCCTTTATCAGACCACACTTCCTTATGATGGAGGCAGCAAGAACCTCCGAAACGTCGGAAATCCTTTATCAGACCACACTTACTTATGATGGAGGCAGCAAGGGCCTCCGAAACGTCGGTAAACTTCTACCAGACTGGACGGCCCAGGAGCCCAGAGGAGAGCCGTCGACAAGCGAACGTGTTGTGTGCAAAAGCGTCGAGCCCTCGTCGCCCCGTAGCTTAGCCAACAGCCGCTCGCCGCAACTTCGTAATCAAATAGTCCCCGTATCGCCGCTGCCTTCCGTTTCCTTCGGATGCTGTGCGCGCGGTGTTCTCGCTGGCAGTCGAGCGCTTCCACTTGTGAGTGCGCTTATAGAACGCGCCCGCGTTTGTTGGAACAAATACCACAGTGTTATCGTAACCACTTGCGAGGTTTCGTTCGGGTTCGAATTTTATTTATTTGGAAATAAAAGACGACGACGAAGTATTTTATATCTGAAGTCATAAAATGCGAAAACGAATTTCGTGTCCTTGACGGACACCAATCACGATTAACAAAACTATTTAAAATTATAATAAACATTTACTCAACGTGCGTTGTGTTCTGAATTCGGATACGTCATTGGTTCGCGATCTTTTCAAGACTCCAGAGTCGCTGGGATTTAATGACGGCTGTGTTTGGATACTTAGCATCCGTCTTACGTAGTTCCACGTAATATATTTTTTCTTTACCAAAAAAACCTTCCTTAATCACTGATTTCTTTAATAAACTAGTGCATTGTCGTGTTTAATTACGTACTTACTGTCAATTGTTTGTCATTAAAAGGCGTCCAGTGTCTCATTTGACGTAAAATAATTTCGTAATTTTGTGAAAATCGATAGTTAACCGCGGTCTCCCGAGGAACTTCCCAGCTTTATAAATGCAACTAACATTTTCCGATATCTCTGCTTCTCGCGTGTTGCTAACCTTTTCGCGGTTTGTAACTGAATTTCCCTCCCCGATCCTTGTGGTAGTTTGCCAGTGTGACGTCATGCTAATTCGTCGCTTGTAGGGGTCAGAGGTGATGCTCCGTGTGTGTGTTACCGGCGGCGATGGTCTGCCAGCGTCTCGTAACGCGGTCTGGGTATAATTTTGGTCGCCATGTTTCACCGCAAGAGGAGTCTTCCTGGACGTCTGGAGCCTTTCCGAAAGTGAGTGTTATCGGCGTCGGTCGTACGGATTTTTTTAAATGGTGACACGCGGATAAGTGAACGAAATATACAAGTTTTGGTTAAAAATGTCGCAGGTAACAACGCCGATCTTTGATTTGAAAGTGGAACTGCGGGTCTGGTTGTGAGAGGATTCGTTTGTGCGTGGACCCCGTCACGTGGTGCGATGGTTGTTCACACTATCCGTTCGCTGCGTTGTGCCTGACTTCCTAGTTGACTTACGGATCGATTTAGCTCGTGATGCTGTGAAATAAATCCATCTTGTGCCAAGTACCCACCGTGTAATCACTGGTAACATCATCTTGTATACCGGTGTCCTAATCTGTACCTGTGAGTCATACGTTAAGTGTATCGGAAACTTTCCTGGTATTACAAGGTTGAGTTTTACCCCAGGGGCCGTGAGCCAACTGATCATTTGGTGATATTGCAGAGAACACAATTACCGGCCTTTTTTACGCGTTCCTCGTAGATGTCAGCGAGAAGTAGGCGCTCGAGTTTGATTACCGAACTGACGGAGGTAGATGTCTGGCTATCTTCTGGGTTATAGCTCGGTGTAGTCTGGTAGAAGTCTGCCGATGTTTCAGAGGTGGTTACCGCTTCCATCATCAGGACAAAGACCCAGAAGACAGCCATCTTTTTCGTGAGACGTGTTCTTTGTGTCCTGAACAAATGTCAAACGCCAGTGTGACCCTTTGAAGCCGAAGCTCGTCTAAGTAACATTTAATATAATTCAGTCCGTACCGCGAAGAAAACACTGCACTTCACCATTACAAAGATCAACCGAGTAGGATCTGAGGTTTTCAAGGCGGTGAGTCCGAAGATGGCTGACTTCTGGGTTGTTACGCCGCGTAGTCTGGTAGAAGTTTACCGACGTTTCGGAGTTCCTTGCTGCCTCCATCATCAGGGCGATCGTCCTGATGTTAGGGGACAGCAAAGGACGCATTAACCCAGAAGACAGCCAATTTTATAGCCGGCGTCATGAGAACTCTTAGTCCCGCTGGCGTAGGAAGTTCAATTTCCTTCGCGTGATGCTCGAATGTTTGTTTACCGATGATATTTTTCATCTTCCTGGCACAGCTCAGTTGTGGACGGAATTTGGTTTTAGAGGCCCCCAGTAATCGTCTCATATTAAATGTAATATCGTCTGATTTGTGAGAATGTTCCATGTTGACGATCAAACCCCGTCTCTTCGTGTGTATTTTTAAAAGCAAACACCAACGAAGCTTTATTACGGCACTCGCAAATCTTCACGTGTGGGTGACGTCACGTCAGCTGCAAACGAAAAGTGACAAACTGAGAAATGTTTTACTCCGTAAGAATAATGGTGACTTCAGCGCATGCGCGGCTGTGACAATCACAGTCTCTGCCAACTGTCGTGAACCTCGACGTCAGGTCGTTGAAGGGTGGACGATGCAGCTGTTTCTTTGGGATTCCAGTTTCTCTCTGTCGTCATTACACCTTGCCAGGAAGATGCACCTGTTCCCCCCTCCCCCCAAAAGGGATCAGTGACCATCGTTCGCCTCTCTCAAGCTCCTCGTGGTCTGATCTCGAGATTCGTTTTTATTTCTTAATATTGTAGGCGAAGACAAGGACCATTTCGTTCCAATGCATGAATTTCTTGATCTTGAGCTGTATTATCCATGTCTGAAGAACTGCTGAGAGAATGTTCGCTTTTTTCGTTATTTTGGAGAATTTTTAGCAAAATTTACTGTAACATTTAAATTTTGCTCGAGATCGGGCTGTAGTAACAGGCGATGTACCTCGAAGACCTAAACGCGTGTTTGTTTTTGGGGTGAGTGGGGAATCTCGGGCGTGGGGGATCCACGGCCAGTCGCGTGACCACTTGTGGGGACTCCCCGTCGTGTGACGTCAGACACGCCCCCGACCCCACGCTGAAGTCTTTGGCCCACCGGCAAATTCTGGCGAAACGATAATTGTTGGCAGAGTTTTCGCAAATGTTGTGCTCGCGTGTTTGATGGCCTGTGACTCGCATTATGTTTTGTGTTTCTTATTTTCGATGGTATTTGCTGTCTGTAATGTTGTCTCGCTCTCTCTCTCTCGTTTCAGTACCCATCACATAACCAAGAAGCCCTTAGCATCCTCAATCAATCGCTCCGAAAGTTACAAGGAGCGCGCTCATCAGAAGGTAAGCGAACTCGACTTATATTCCTATAAATTCGGCGGAATTTTAATTTTTTGGTTGGGGAGGGGATAATATTAAAATGGATCAGAGAGTTGGGGTGGTATAGTGTAGAATGGATTCAGCTGGCACATGACGTCCTTTGGCGATATTTTGTGAATACTGCCAGGGCGAAAGACGGATGTTAACTTGAATTGTCTTAAAATTGAAGTGTGTTATTATTTCTATGCATTAACTTATTATTATTTAGTGTTCTGTCTGACGACAGGTCCATATGAACAGGATCCTTCCATCCTTTTCTCTTCTCGGACTGGGACCTGTTCATATACGTTCTTGGCAGATGATCCAGAAGTGGTTTGCCATTGCCTTCTTCTGTGTGTGAATGGAGTAATTGTTGGGATGCCACGGAGGAAAACTCCGTGTTGCCTAGACCACGGCCTTGCCCAACACAAGTTATAAATTCGGGCACCGCCGGGAATCGAACCCGAGACCCCCCCAGGATTACAAGGCCAGCGTTCTAACCGCTAGACCACCGTGGCATCTATGCTTGATACGATGAAGTAATTGGCTCCAGATAGTGAGAACAGCCCTTCTTTAAAGAATCCCGTGGTGGCTGAGTAAGTCAATACATCTGCCATCTATAGACCCCTTAAGTTCATCGCCGTTTAACAAGAGCTGGCTTCTTCACGTTCACGAATCGCGGTTACAAAGTTTAACACACGAAGTCTCATTCTAGGGCTTTCCCTTGTTTATATGCAGCACGCATAACTCCACGTGCGGCTTACGCAGTTTCAAATAGTGGCGTTTTTATTTATTTATTTATTAAATTGTTGGCCTCGCACCCAATGGTTAAGTTAGGAGGCTGGGTGCATCCCACATCCGGTCTGGACACGATGACGGAAATATTCCAACCAGGAATCGAACCCTGTTCGTCGAGCTCAGAGCTCAGCGAGTTACTTCGCGAGATCCCCGGACTTTTAAACAAGATGGCAGCGGGAAATATTAAGCGCACTTGAGGTCGGGGGGTTGTTCGATCAATGCCGAGTCGCCGTCCTGTTTGTTATAACGCCCAACGAAATCGTGCGGGAAGCTAAGGCCGTGTGATTTATTGCGTTTGGGGTATGTTGTTTCCGCCATTACAGAGGCTTCCGCGTTGTTCAATGTTGCAATTTATTCCCCGATGGGGGGAAGCTGACGAGGGTGGTCCTAGTGCGTGCAATTGTTTCTACGCCCCATTCAAGGGATCAGTGATCGGCGTTCATCTCCTGGCAGGTGCCGCATTCTTCTCTCTTCACCACGTCCACACAGCCTCGTTCGAGGAGCACGTCTGCCTGCTTTGGGCAGAGGGCTCCCTCACTTCGTCGGTACGAGAATTGTGACGTACTGTCCGGAGGATGTTGCGATATCGCAGGAATTCCTCGGGTTATAATCTTCGTCGTAATCTTTTCGTAACCCCCTGGAGTTCCTTGTGGGGGCGTCTTTACTGCTCCAGAAGAATGAGCTGGACATTTCAGTCAGTACAGTGACTTGACTACTGACTGGACGACCGTGGTTCGATCCCCGACTGGGGCAGAGGATTTTTCCTCTAGCCTCTGCGTCCTCTACAATGGATACCGGGGTCCTTTCCCGGGGGTAAAGCCGGCCTTGGCGTGATGCTGACCACTCACCCCCACCTAGTACCGAGGTCAAGGAAGACCTCCACTCCCCCCCAAACGCCTACATGGCGTGTAGTGGGACAAACTTTCCTTTTTTATTGAAGCAGAATGATACAGATGATCATTGTCTTCCTGTTAGACCTTCTAATCTCGTCATTTGTGTCACGAAAGCTCTCGTTCTGCCGTTGACAGACGCCTGTAACATACGAAGCAGGAGGAACTTGACAGTTCTTGGTAGCGAGTTACGTAAAACGTAATTATTTGAACAAGAAACGTGTTTTATGTAAGGTGGAAATGAGGAATTGAGCTCAGCAAACTTGCCAAAGTTGGCTCAGCACGAAGGAAGCGATAATCTGACTTACAGAATTCGTTTTCTTTCGACGTAACTCCTTTTATTGTGGCCGAAGTTTGCCCGCGTGTGTTCAATGTAGAAAATCCGAATGGATCTCAAACTTGACAACTCATTTGTTTCACTTATTTCTTACGAGGTCAATTGTGTGCGAAACTGTGGCAAACTAGAACTGACTCCTGTGATGTTTCCAGATCACGTTTTCTCAGTTTCCCCCCCCGTCGACTTTTGTATTTTCAGAATTACGTAAACGTAATCTGGCGCGCTGCTTGAAATGCACTCATTTCGTTTCAAAAGAATTTGTCCCTCCAGAGACTCGACCTCAGACCTGCAGGTAGTCAAATGAGCCTTGTTCCGTTGTAGCACTAACACGTGTTGTCTTGCATTTCAGCGCCAGTTGAGGGAAAGGCGGAAAACGAGCGACCCGAACTTGTCGAAAACAAAGTAAGTACTTAAAATGGTGTTTGTTTATGGGAGATTTGAACAGGCGAAGTTAATTTCCTGGCTAAAATTCTACGTTCTGTCGTGTTTCTATTTTATCTTGGCACTCTGTGTTTTTGATTTCTTGCTCTATTCGTGGGTTGCCCCTTTGTTTTCAGTGACCTTTGTGGCCAAAATTGGTGACAGTCCCTGTACAAAACATTTTTTATATTATTTTGTCCGTGGTTAGTATCTTCCATTTATTTTGGGTTGTGTGCGTCAAATTAAATGCGTGGACTCACGTCCTGCGTTGCGCGGTGTGGGGGAATCATTTTCCTCCTCTCATACTTTCCACAAGAATAAAACAATGTCGAATCTATTTAAGATACTTGCAGATTAAATACAGGATTCGCGTATTTTTAATGACGGAAAGCCGCCTCTGTGCTTGGTATCACCGAATGTTTTAATTAAATTTCGGGGGTTGTGCCCCTAAGTAAGTGTTATCGGCGAATAGGAAATCGTTATCAGGAGTACAGACGCGGAACAGAGTAAAGCTTAAACTTAATACGACTTAAGTAGGATAATTAATGGTTATCATGGGGTAGTGACGTTGAGTGTTACGCCAACGTGGTTCTAATTTTGATCCGAAGTGCTGTAAGAAATGCAAACTCGCCGCTCGGAACATTGTGCAGGCAGAGAGAGGTGTCCTCTGGAACGAGGATGCAAATTGATAATCCTGTTCTCCCGCTTGGGGGGGGGGGGGGGGAGCTCGGCTCATCATCATCGCAGAGATCTAGCAGATTTGAAACTGGCGCACAGAGAGTCGAATAAGGTGGTCATTTGGTGCCCGGATGAGTTTCTTTTGAAGTTTTTCTCGCCACGTGAAAGCACATTTGCGTATTTGGCAGTGAAAATAAGTTGGGCTTCGCGTTGGTATCGTTCGCCGGTTCTAATCTTTGAGTCCGGCACGATCAGACATCGTTGATCTGTGTGTGGTCCTCGTGAAATGAGCTACAGAATGTCGGACTTTTCATCGCCTCCAGGATTCACTCTCTGGACGGGGATGACCTGGTGTGTCCGCCAGCTTTAGAGGCTCACCAGGAAAACGGAGAACAGTGTCCTTGTCAGTTTACGTCGGCGACAGAAATCCGCGGAGAAGAGAGATTTGAAGACGTGAATGGATCTTGTGTTAACCTGAGTCGCTCAGGGGAAGTCGGCGTCTCCGATCGTGTACAGAAACTTGTATAATCTTTAAGGGGAAAATAGAATTTTATGTTTTGCGTTCGTGTTAGAATCGGTTTCAGCTTCATTCGGCAGTTTGTGGTTAGCGACGGACCACGCGAGACGTGTCGAAGAGAACAGATTACTGTAAAATGCTTGTCTTACGTGCGGTTCGCCCTGATGGTGGCAGCGAGGTTAGGATAATCGGTGATCTGCCCCCGGTTGGTTCCTGTGGCGTGAGCAGGGCGTGAAAATATGGAGGCCAGGATTAGAAGAAATGCTTCAGCTCCGAGGCGATCAACGTTCTCGTTTAAGAACCACAACTCCAGAAGATGTTATTCCGAGAGGTAACTGATACGTACTTTTTTATCCCAGTGTTTTTCGTGGCGGTGAGTTTTAAATCGTGGATGTAATTCCGTCTGGATTTTGGATAAGTTCAAATTTGCCGTCTGCAATGTTCTTTTTACCATCTTAAGACGTGTGTCACGGGTTTCCCTTTAACGCGTTATGTTTTTTCAGATTATACGCGTACTCGTGAGATAGAAATTACGAATTTGCGACACATTTACGTGTCTCGTCCTCGGGGATTCGACTGCGTACCCCCGAGCGAATCAGTTTATGGCTTCGGATTGTCTTCGTGACCCGATCAGTTTTAGATTGCCCTCTTTTATGACGTCAGCATTATCATCGTGTGCACAGAAGATTGTCCATAAACAGACCGTTCATTATGCAGCGTGGACCTCGGGAGGGGGGGGAATGGCTGTAGTTTGCTTTTACAATACCAGTACCAACATGATAAATTAACCCGTAAACCTTGCAGTTAAATTCGATGTGATGCCGCCCTTAAGATTCAAGAACCAGGGTTTATTTAACATCGTAGCTATTTCATGACGCCAGTTGATGAAAATTGCAGACAGGAAATAGTAATTTGTGACAGAAGGAGGGCGTGTACCATTCGTGACATACATCGGAGTTCACGAGAAAGTCGTTTGAATATGTCGCAAGTGAATTACGTAACTTCCATCGCGGGTTTTGAGTGTCGCCTCAGATGTGACGCTCCGAGGCGTCGTCGTATCGAATGGTAGGATAATTAGTGAATTTTGGGGGCGGGAAATGGTTTGAAGGACTCACGACAAACCTGTCCTTCCTACGGATTCTCTTGTAAGTCTTAGAATCAATTTCTAAGTCTCCGTTAGGAGTGACTTTTAAACCTGAAGTTGATGACGAATGGCGAAGAACTGGCGTCTAATTCGACCGTCTGACGAGGACCAGTTAGGTGACGAGGACACCTGTAAAATGAAACTTTACTACGTTGCGTCTAATACAGAGGAGAAACTTGTGGAAATTTACAAGATATAAAAGACTAAAAATTGTTTAGTCTGAAAACAGCAACCCCTTCTCCCCCCCCTCCCCAAATGTTTAGTTAGCGATTCGTGTGTTTCCGTTACGCAGTTTGAAATGCCTGCGTTTTCGGCGAAAAACAAAATTTATGTCAGGCCACGCAGGGAGGGGTAGACTCAGTTGTGGAGCTAAGAACAGACGCGTATTCATTAAGGCTTTGACCGGGATGTTCTTTTGTTAAATCTTATGTGGTACCGCCTGATTCGACTTCTAATGGTTAAGTGAAGTGTTTTCTTCGCGGTACGGACTGAATTCATAAATAATATTCAGACGATCTTCGGATTCAAAGGGTTAAGAGCTGTGACGTGGCTCAAAGAAATCCTGGAAGTATTTCGAAGATCGGTGGAGGGTTACAATGCAACTCTGTTCCAGACACACGCTTATTAAAATTCTTCCAATAATTCCACATGTGTTCGTATAAATAAGGAAATGAAAGGCGTCAGAGTCTTCGCATTGATTGGCCGTAGCTTTGATGTTCGAAGGTTGGCATCGCTGCTGCTCGCCTCGCATGCTCGTCACGTGGAATAAATCGCAATTATACCAAGGACACACGGGCAAGTCGAACTGTTCGTTACGATGGATGCTGGAACGTTATTTCTTACTGTCCGTATTGAATTTGGAAATCGTAGAAAAATCCCCGGGAAATTCGTATTCATTCCGCTGAAGACAGGGATATTATCGTCTTGGGATTCCGCTGATGACTTAACCCACGCTGTGGTGTCTGCTCGTAGAAAGTTGTCCAACATATTCTTGGCGTCCCACGACGTCATCAAACATAATGAAGCAACTACTAGTGGCTCACCTCTTCCGTGTCGTGATGGACGTAGGGTTAAAACATTTCTCCCCTTGTCGAGGGTCAGCGTCGCCATCGACCAATAGGGAATCTCGACTTGTATGACGTCAGCACACAGTTCAAGGCTCGCTCCGTGTCTCCGGAGGATTTGCGCTCGAATTACGTGATAGCGTCCGGACGCAGTCACACACGGACGGCCTTGGTGATAACATGGCGTTACTTGGCGAGAATTTAGGTTCTCACGGCTGCAGGTATGAACATGCCTGTGATCTGGGATAGTTTGGTAGATATTGGGCGACGTTTCGGAGGTGCTCGCTTGGCAGGAAAATGGTCTCTTAGTCACTCAGAGACACTGAATTTGCTGCGACATTTCACGGAATTTTTACGAATTGAAGTTGAGTGTTGTTTCGGTCTATAACGGTTCATCCTCATGTAGGATATTAACGCGATTACGGGGGTTTTACCACGTGTTTCTATTGAGTGTGTTTTTTATTAATTCGACGATGATTTTATAATTCTCTTGTGCTAGTCGTTTCAGTTTTGTTTATTCGAACCGCGAAGGACAACACCCCCATTGCTTAATTCTTAAAGTTACTGCATCGAAGTTAATCTTAATGAACGCCCAGAATAGCCCATTCATTGCAAAAGAAATTCTTTCAGAGCGGGAGGGGTGATTAGGGTAATGCGACTTGTCGTAATTTTGCTGCTGGTAGGAACGTTAATCGCCCGCGTTTTATAAAAGCCGCTCCCTCTGTGTCAACTCTGGCTTTCGTAATGAAATTAACTTGTGTCCTGAGTGGCTTTGATATTCCATTAATGATTAAGTCGTCGTCTACGCAGTTCGCGATTATAAGACTCCCATTTTTTTTAAAAAAAAAAGAAATTTGGTTTCGTTCCGTCGTGAACAAGGTCCACACTTCAGACCCCGTGGCCGCTGTGACCGACACTCGTACGGATAGGCCAGGAAATTATCTGGAGTACAGATCAGTACATGCCAACTTCAACAGTCACATTTATGTTGTTGAATCAGTTCATTAAGGGGCAGGATGCTGAGTTTGGAAAACTCGCCAGCAGATGTCTCTGAGACCTTCAAGGGGATGTTTTTGCATTTCACATCAGCGAAGATCACAGAGTTCAAGCTAATGACGTCGTACTTGTCTGGAAAATGTCAGTCGGGTTGTGGGTGTTTGGGAAGGAACTCAAAAATGTCTGTTTTTCATTGTCGCATCCCGGATTGCCCTCGTAATCATGTAAATATTTTCGTGGTTAGAGTCTTCTTGGGAGGCTTGAAAGTGACGAGGAGGAAAATATAATAGAATTTTTTTGGGTTGACATTTTCTATCACTCATTTTGCCTCAGAAAATCTCATCGCGCGTCCCTCGTTCAGTGGAGTTTGTAGGCTGAAGCGTGGATAATTAGCATCTAAAGAGGCTACTGTCATAATCGTATGCTCGAGTGATGCATATTGAGAGAAAGACACGTCCATCTTGTCATCGCCAAGAAACGAGTCTTTAAATAAATGTTTCATGTGTTTACAGACATCAGCTTTGTGATTGGGTGAATTTATTCCTTGGGTTCTTGTGAGTTTCTTTAAAAAAAATTTTCCTTGTGATGGACAGAAATCTGTGGCCTGTTATTTCTCCATAATTTTAATAGGAATGCTTTTGAGATAAATTTAAATGCTATTAACATAAGTTACTGAGGAATAAAGTGTCGTAGGAACTGAGTAGCGTATTATTTGTGTGAGAATTTCATATTAGGATTATCAAACTGAAGGAGATGAGATAAGCAGAGCTAGTAGCGTGGATGGCAGAGATGAGAAATTAACACAGACTTTGTTAGAAAATGTAGTGTCTGAATAATGTTTTCGGTCATTTGTCACCCGAATAGGAAACCCTTAGGAGGTATAGACTAAGTCGTCATGTAGCGTGAAGTTTGTAACTTGCAGAGCAACTGCATTGTATTAATTGAAGAGGGAAATGTTCTGCGCGTTGTATATCTCGTTCTGTTTCCTTTCAGTGACGTGGATTTGGATACCCAAGGTCTTTCATACAACACAAACTCAGGAAGTTCATCAAATTCCAGTCTTTCTACGAGGTAAGTTTCAAGCTTGAGGAGTATCGCAGTCACAGACAGGCCCTGGCCTTAAGGCTCAACGACAGATTTCTTCAACTCTGGCACGTCTACCTTATCCTGGGCGGAGCTAATGGCTTCGAAGATTGTCGGAACGTAATGTTTTTACCACCTCCTCGGATCAGTTCTGCCAGAATTTCATCAGTACAAAGGCAATTTTTGTTTTTAAACTTTTCGTTAGCAGTCTCCGCCCCAAAAAGAGCTAGGCTGTGTGTATTTCCGCCCCAATGAACATCCAATAGCTCGCAGAGGTAATCAGACGAAGAATCTACCACCGCGATTAAAGTAACTTACTTGTGTATCGATGTTAAATTACTTTTGGTACCTGTGGAATATTGTCAAAGGAATCCCTTTAGTTGGGCCGTTACGTTAATATATAATATATGATCGGGGCAGCCGTTTATTTGGGACAAAACTTTTTAACTCTTTACATGAAATTTCGCTTAATCTGGCCAAAGCGTTCTAGGAATCCACTGTATATGTATATTTTTTACAAACATACATAGTTACATTAATATATAATGTATTTGTAATCTGGCTTACGTGAGGGTTTATTGAATGAAACAATTTATAAGAACGGCTATGAAATTGACTGCAGTAATTATAGAAGAATAATATCACTGTTACCAAATTTTAACTTCGTACACAGAAAATTTTTAGGGTTTATCTTTATCGACGTTGATGTCACAGATCAATGACTGATTAGGTTCTTCGTGTGTCGAGTATAGGAGAAAAGGTGAGAGTAGTCTGCAGTGTGACCGTGATGAAAGTATTGTACGACATGCTCTTTCGATTGAAGATAGTTACGCTAATTAAAATGTTTTTAAAATAAAACAAATGTATTATCCATATAATTAAACATTTCTCTGAGAATGGTTTGATAGAAGGAGATGCTTTATCATCATTGCTTTTGAACGGGCCATTTCTTAAATGCGTGTCCTGTTTTGTTAGGGTGTGAAACTTGGTCTCTTACCTTAAGGGACGTACATGTGTAAAGGATTCTGGCAGGAAGAGGACCCGTTGAAAATTTGTAGCGTTGTGTCGAGGTGAACGACGGTTTCCGAAGAGGGTCTCTGCCCCATAGTAGTCGTTATTCATGTCTTGGTACTAAAGTCGACTTAGCGCCTATTGCAGGAGCCTGGACAGTCCCATCAACTCCTTGGAGATGGTGACAGCCGCGCGAACACAAGATGCTGTTACTGTAACGCCGACTCTCAACAACAGTGCTGCCGAGTGGGACAGCGACCTAGAAGCGGAACCAGACCCCGTGGATTGGTCGAGGGGGGTCGACGAAGAAGTCCTTAAACAGCTCTCAGCGAGAGAAAAGAAGAGGCAGGAAGTCATCAATGGTACGTCAAACCGAACTCGTGTGGTCATGATACACGTAACAGGATTCGGCTCTATCTATAGTCTCCAGGTGGTACTAACTGCGCTAAAAGAATGTTATATGAGGCTTCGCTTTAAATTACTGCAGCCAGTTTTAATTTGAGCATTTTTTTTTTGAGTGGTTTGGAGATCGTATCTTTAGTCACACTTTTCTTGTATCTCAGTTTTTATAATTTGAAATTACAGAATTATTCCACACAGAACGGTCACACGTTCGTAACCTGAAAGTGATAGACCAGGTGTTCTACCGACCGATGCTGGACACCCAGATTCTTCCTCCTGACCACATCCAACTCCTGTTTTCGAATCTGGATGAGATGCTGGACATCCACAGCCGGTTCAACAACGGGATGAAAGCTATAAGACGCGACAGCCCCCTGGTGGGAGACGTAGCGGAACTGCTTCTTTCTATGGTGAGTAGCTGATCTCTCGTCGTCACGAAAGAATTCTGTTTCTTCTTGAATGCTCTTTTGTGAACTGGAACAATCATCTGTGAGTTTAGGTCTAATTTGACGT